GGGGGGTTTACAACACGGAAGGAAATCACAGTCATCATAACGACTAGTTACTAAGAGCTCAATCAAGTTAACAACATAAATTAGTTTAATGATATTTTTGGGTTGCTGTTTTGTTGGGGTTTGGGGTTGTTTTTTTTCCAAAGCTCAGCATACAGAATGTCACACAACACAGACTTACCTGTAGTTACTAGCAGGACTGGGTACTCCTGAAAAGCCGCGTCTTCTGCATTAAGTCAACACACTCTCAGTACACAGCCCTTCTCGTCTGCGTAAATTCCTGTGATATCCGTGGCCTTTAGGGGGGGAAAAATCAACAAAGATCCTCTCTTTGAACTGACTGCTGCTATTGCCAGACACACAAACACACTCACACACACAATGATCCAAAGACACTGATGTATGATGCTATAAAGATGAGTTGGTAGCTTCACTTTTTCTCAAGTTCCACTTCACAGAGACAAAACTTGTCTTCCAGAAGTAATATTGCACACTACAAAAACACGCACGCCCGGTGCTGTGTTTTACAAAAGACTACAAAGGCACATCGTGGAAGAAGTAACGCATTTCTTCAGTGATGCGAGACCTTCTTGCGAATCTGTCACAGTAAATCTATCGTATATTAGAATAAATATTTCCAGCACAACGCTCTCTATCTAATCTATCTCGCTTTCACGTCCAACTTCTTCCCACTACTTGCAGCCTTCTTCTAATCCGGATTCTGCTAGCTTGGCTGAGATCACCGAACGAACTGAACTCCTTCGCTTTCTCGGAAGTGTGCAACATTCGTTCTCAACCGCATCGACTGAGAACGATCGCGAAGCCAAACAGACGATATGAACACTCACACCTTTTATCACAACATTCTCCGCGCGGGCACGTGACGATAGCTCTCAGACACACGAGTACCTCCAAGGGGGGGCGGAGCTATCTTCTGTCAAGACAGTCCGTGCGCACAGATCATTTCCTCGCGACTCGGAGATGCCGCCAACCATTGGCTAGAAGACAGGCAGAAGGCGCCTCACGATTGGCCAAGGACCAGTCACGGCACGCTAAACCAAGACCGCAAACGACTTGCCCTGTCATTCAAGACAAGACTCTTTTTTTTTTCTTTCTCCCCCTCTCTCTCTCCCTCTCTTCGTTCGTTCGTTCGTGCGTGCGAGAAGGCGCGCGACTTTTGGTCGGTTGGATTCCTACCCTAGTAAAAGTTGAGGTTGATGGAGGAAGGAAAACCTGAGACGAGCGATGAGGAGGATAATCCAAAAGTCACAATGACGCGCTGCCTCGACGCCTGTGTTGGCGAACGAACGGGACGGGGCGCGTGGGGCGCCTCTCTCTCTCTCTCTCTCTCTCTCTCTCTCTCTCTCTCTCTCTCTCTCTC